TATTATTAGTGGTCATATATATATATATATATATATATATATATATATTATGGTCAATATATATATATATATATATATATATAATATTAGTGGTCAATATATATATATATATATATATATATATATATATATATATATATTAGTGTGGTCAATATATATATATATATATATATATATATAATATTAGTGGTCAATATATATATATATATATATATATAATATTAGTGGTCAATATATATATATATATATATATATAAACACATACATACATAAATTTCCTAGAGGATAGAATCCAGGTAGAAGTCAATGTCCAGGACAGAGTAAGAATAAAATATAAAAGGCTCAAACACTAATGTTTCCATGGTTATAATTTTTTACATCGGAATCGTAATCACAATCCAATTCATCAGACCTACAGATTCAAATGGAATATTAGTGTTTGAGCCTTTTTATATATATATAGATTGAAGTCAACACTCAGACGTGACAGGCTGTTTTATACTAGATGCAATTGGCAGGCCAGACACAGCCTGTCGCTGTTGAGTGTTGATTTCAATGTTCACTCTTATATTTACATATGCTCTATCTTGATGTGCAAATTTTTGGGATAACAACTAAGACATTACTCTACTTATTGAACTATTTAGTTCATGACACATTGACTGATAAACTCCTACAACCAAAAAATTCTTAAATTTCCATATTAGTAAAAAAATGCACTCACTTAAATTTAAAAATTCAACCTTAGCATTGCGACTGCATGCTCCACAAGTTTGTATTCATTATCAATAACACATTTCAAAAAACATATTTTGATTCACATTATATTTCTTCATTTTGGATGCTACCTGAATTTTACCAAAAACAAAATAATTTCCATGCCTGAACATGACTAAATTTACAGTCAAAAGTACTTGCCTGTTTAAGGAAGATCTAATACACTTTATAATTTTTAAAAACAAGTATCATAGCATTCATCAAGTGATTGATAGTTTAATGCATCTTTAAAATTTAGCAAAGGGATTTTACCATTTTATATCATTAACTTTACTAATTTACTTTTTTTGTGAATGATTCATTGTAATATAAATTGAACTGCACCACACACACACACACACACATATATATATATATATAAATTTAAATAGCTTGGTAGATAGAGATAGATATGAACAATGGGAAAGAAGGAAGTTATGAAAGTGCTGAGATGTAAATATAGAGATAGATATATCAGTAGACTTTGGTATAAGTACCAATACTTATTATACTAGTATTTTTCTCTCTCTCCCCTCATGTATAATTTATTTATTATACTTTTTTCTTTCTTTCTTTTTTTTTTTTATCATCTCACCCCAAGCAAGGTAGCAGAGCCACTAACATTCAAAGGGTTACTGAGTTTGAAAAATATAAGATAAGATATAATAAAACATTATTAAGGAGCAAGAACATTAAAAGAACAAGAATTAAGAAGACGGGAGATGATGATTGACATTACATTTATTTTGAGGATCAAATTTGACTAGGAAGCAAAAAGCCACAAAAGAGTTCCACTAGCAAGAAGTTCTAGAAAGGGTAGTGTTAGCATATAAATTACAGTTACATCTAGGCAATTAAATGTAAAATGATGAGACCTAACTGCCAGTCTAGTACTGTACTTAAATTCATAAAGTCTATGTACCAAAGTGTAAAGTTCATCAGAACAATTAGCATGAAAATATTATAGAGAAGGTACAGAGAAGCTACATTATGGCGGTGGAAAAAGTGACTGAAGCCAAGATGCCAGGGTCAGGCAGATGGTTAAACACCCAGTCAGTTATGTGCCATGCATGATACATGCTTAGGCAATCATGTATCTTTCAATATTAGGTTGCCATTTCATTCTGCAGTAGACCAGTTGCCATCCAAGGCTATAGAACCCAATCTGTCTTGCTATTTACTCATAGCTAATGGGAGAAGAGGATTTATACCTTTCCCAAGGGTATTAGCACATAAGTGAATGTAATGGATTTGACTGGAATTCGAACTCGGATCTCTGATTCCTCAATCCGAACTGTTATCCATTACTCCTCTGGAAAAATCTAGAAGAGGATTTATACCTTTCCCAAGGGTATTAGCACGTAAGTGAATGTAATGGATCTGACTGGAATTTGAACTTGGCTCTCCAATTCCTCAATCCGAGTCGCTATCCATTACTCCACTATACCTCTTGCCAATCTAGTACTGCACTTAAATTCATAAAATCTAGGTCCCTAGAGTAGAGTTCGTCAGAACAATTACCATGAAAATATTTATAGTAAATATTTATACAGCAGTGAGAAAATAACTGAGGCCAGGGTGCCAGGTCAGGACTGATAACTTTGCAGATTCTTCTTTGGATTTTATCAAGGATCTCTAAATATATAGCAAGAGCACCAGGTCAGATGTGGTAGAAATATTTGAAGTATCGATGAATGATAGACTTATAAATATGTAAAATAGATTCTGCTGAGAAAAATTATCTAGCACGACACAGTGAGCCAATCTTCCTAGCAGAAATTGATTTGATATAATCTTTCCACTTCATGTTAGTGGAAAACATTAGCCAGCGAAGACATAATGAGTCATATCTCCTGGAGGGTAGTACAAGCCCTGCCGATGGAAGGCCGAAAGGAGTCTCTCAGACGATTAATAAAGACCAATTTTAAGTAATGTGTTTTTTTATTCTTTCATAGAAAAAAAAATTATTTGCATTAATTACATTATTCACACTGTCATCCTCATCTTCATTGCTATATTCACACCATTTTGGCCATTGTACACTCCAGCCTTCATCAGATGATTGGACTTTCAAACTGAACTCTTTATTTCGTCCACCAGGGTAGATTGTTCTAGTTCCACGTGCCATGCCTCTTCTAGATGTATCAGTTATTTCAACTCTCCAAGTTTAGGTTCACCACTGCTGTGACCTGGTATTGAACTCACAACTCTTTGGGGTCTAGTCACTGGTTCTAACCAACATCTTTATCCACTGGGCCATGTGTCCTTGAGGAGCCAAAGAGTTGTAAGTTCAGAACCAGGCCACAGCAGTGGTGAACCGAAACTTGAAATAACTGAGACATTCAGAAGAGGCATGGCATGTGGAATTAGAACAATCTACTCCGGTGGACAAAATAAAGGGTTTGGTTCAAAATTCCAAATCACCTGAATAAGGCCGAAAGATACAACAGGTGAAATGTAAATATGGCAATGAAGATGAGGATAACAGTCCGAATAATGTAAATAATGCAAGTCATCATAATAACTCATCTCAGAGATATAGACAGATATTTAAAAATTATTTATTTATCAAATGTTTCCCCTCAGTTTCCAGTCATTTATTGTCTTGGGAGTAATTGATCAGTTCTCTTCTGAAAGAATTCTTTATTCAAGGTATATTCCTTAAAGGTTTCTTCAACATTTTAAATTTTTTGCTTGTAAAAAAACTGGTAAAGATACTTCGGCAAAATTTTTTTTTTTTTTTTTTAATTTTTAAGGTGAAAGGTTTTAATGACCTGTTTCTGGATTAAGTTTAATCTCTTAATTCAATCACAAAGAGTTTTATTTGTCCTTGGATTATGAGACAAGTTGAAATAAAACTTGAATGAATACCACAATCAGAAACACAAATTATTTTAATAATCACTTAAATATATTTTAATCTCACCTGTTAATGTATCTCCATGGCTGAATTGGTAAAACACTGTCCATGTCAGGTGGTTTCCCAGGAATGCAGAATTTGAATACAAATTTAATCAGAGGAGACTCCATTATTTTCTGATCCATGCTACTTCATACAAAAGCCGAAGAATACAAAATAATTTGGGTGTAACAAAAATAAGATGGAAGATAAACTAGCCTGAAAATTATGAATAATGAAAATGTGTTTTCTAAAATATTTGGATTTTTTTTTTTTCTAAACGCCTGATTTTGTCTTTAAAATTTGGTTCTGTCACCATTTTTCTGAAAGTATAAAGCTATGGCTGATCTGCAAAGGATACATTCTAAGACCTCCAACAGATATCTGAGACTTCAAATAGTACCAATTTTTGCTTATCCTGAATCCAGGGCGTTCAGTTAACTGGTTTAACAAGTTGGACATGAGGTGACCAACTTCATCTTGATTGATTTGTTTTCTACAGCTTATCAACCCTTTTTAGGTTATTTAAAGCCAGAAAATTTTAGATTGTAAGATTTTTTTTTATTTTATTTTATTTTATTTTTTTTTTTGAGATAATGATTTAGTGTTGCAAGTCTTACTAATCAACCAATAGCTGGTGGGTGGGGGAGAGGTGGATTTATACCTAACCAGAATTTAATAAACAAGAAATTACAAGGTGGATATAAAGTGCGAGATCAATTCTATATTACAATCAATATATGAACTGATCCCTCACTTTATGTCCACAGTAGTTTCTATACATTTCTATTCCAGAGAACATAAATAAATCTAAACGACATGCCTGTGTAGCTAATCAGGATTTCATTGATTGATTGATTCGTTTTCTATGGCTTATCAATAAACAAGAAATTATAAGGTGGATATAAAGTGGGAGATCAATTCTATATTACAATCAATATATAAACTGGTCCCTCACTTTCTAACCACGGTAGTTTCTATACATTTCAGAGAATGTAAATAAATCTAAGAGACATGCCTGTGTAACTAATCAGTATTTTATTGATTGATTGATTCGTTTTCTACAGCTTATCAACCCTTCATAGGATATTTTAAGCCAGAAAATATTATTTATTGCAAAAAAAAAAAATTTTTTTTTTTTTTTGATCGGGGGGGGGGGGAATGGTTTTGATACCAGTCTTACTAATTAACCTATAGGTGGAGGGAGAGAAAAGGTGGATTCATACTTTTTCCAAGTTTACTTGCATGTAAGTGAATACAATTAACCCAACAGGAATTGGAACTTGGCTCTTTGATTATCATTTCTAAGCCATTATCCATTTACACCACCCACATATCCAAGCTTAGCACCTGTTTTTCCCAAGCAGTCACCCATCTGTCTAATGACTAGGCTCAATGTTGCTTAATTTCGGTGATCGTACGGGAACTGGTGTTTCAATGTGATGTGGCCTTCTTAAACTAACTTCAAACTTCATCTTTTAAAACCTTAGTTGCTATGGTAGCTACAGCAGCAATGAGTAGTGCTGTCGAGATCTGTAGCCTCTTAGTCTTACTCCTCAGTGGAGTATAAGCAACTAAAAGCGGAGGGAGAATATATATATATATATATATATATATATAATTGCACACATATGATGGACTCTCTATTATTTAAGTTTAGTGGGGCTATAAGAACCCTCAAATAGCTGTGCTGAGATAAAACTTAATTTTAAAAAAATAAACATAAAATTTTATGTGTAGATATCAATATTGTTACAAAATTTATGTCTTATAAAATTTGAATTATAAATGTATCTTTTTGTAATTTAAATGTTATTCTCGAATTCTCTCTGAAATGTAAGGTATATATATATATATATATATATATATATATATATATAAAGCTAGAACGATTTATATCACTTTTGCCCTACCATCTGATAAATTCCCCTGACGTAAGTTGTCGACAGATTGGCGTACATCAGTTAACAAACCTTAGTCAGGCCCAAAAATCCAAGCACCACGGTTGGAAATGTCTTTTTAAAAAATTTTCTGATAAAAAAAGTAAATAATGTTTCTTTCAAATTACAGTAAATATACTTTAAATTTTCTGATTTTCCTAAAATAACTTTTGAAAAAAGCATAATTGAATTTTACAAGATTTTTAAACGGGAAATTTTACTTTTGTTTATAAAACTGTCGATAATGGTTGACATGATTAATTTTATTTTACGTCAATTTTGATGACTCAAAAAAAAACAACAAGATTTTTAGCTAAAAATAAAATTTCGGACATGCTAGAAAGGATTAAAAAAATTTTAAAAAGACTCAAAAAAATTTTAAAAAGACTCAAAAAATACTTTGGTCTTTCCTCTTAATAGTAACATAAACATTTAGACAATACAAAAATTTTTTAATCAAGTTTGGGGCTTTTTTTCATCAGGGTATGCGTTTTTTTAGCAAAATTTTGGACATACACACACACGTACACAAGGTTCGCACAGGTCCTGGAAACTGTGAAAAATCATGGTAAATTGACAGAGTCTTTCCCAGGGTTTGAAAAGTCCTGGAAAGACATCAAATAGCCCAAAAGCTCCTGGGGAAAGTCCTGGAATTCTCTAAATTGGGCTGCCCACAAATCCTTTTTCTCAATTCATGAAAGTCAAAATGACAAATCCCAGAAATTTGTCTTTTTCTTTTTTTTCTTTTTTCTTTTTTTTTTACAAGCTACTAAAATTATCCTTCTAAGATGTTTTTTTTTTTAGTCATCATAAACATTGTGAACGGTGGTTTGTTTCTTTGATTAGAACGAGTTCATGACCTCGTCGTTACTTCTCTATTTTCTCGTCTATGTGATGAGAAAGAAAGGGAGAAGGAATATAAAGGCGTGTCTTCTAGCTGCTACCCCCCCCACTCAACAAGAAAAGAAGAAAAATAAAGATAAAAGGTGTTAGAGACTAGTAAACTAAACTGTAATCATCTGTTAATTCACTCATTGAATTTGTAATTAAAAAGAAATAAATTATTTTACACTAATGAAATACGTTTTAAGTAGAATCTCCTAAATTTTATGAGTGTTTTTTAAAATTTGAACAATTGAATAAATTTTATTCACATGTCAATTTCAAAAGTAAAAAGTCTTTTTGATCTCTCGTCGGCAGTGGGTGTGTTCATACTGACAAAATAAAGTTACTTTATGTGTCCCTTGTCAAAGTTTATCTAAGTGTAAACTACATTTGCCTGTTGTCAAAATTAACAAGTTTGAGAATTAAATTTAACTCCAAGAAAATGTAGAGGGGACGGATGATAAAATAGAAAATGTGCCTTTGATGTGTGATAGGATAGAAAACGCATTTTTGAAAATCGATAGCATGACAAGAATGGCCTGAAACTTGATGAAAAATTTTTTTTTCAAATGTATATTTCATTTTTTTTTAATATTTTTTGAAATTTTTTTACTCATTCTTAGCATGTCCGAAATTTTAGTTAAATAAAAATCTCATTTGCAGTATCTCTAGATTTTGTTGTAAATGTGAAAAAAATGATGAAATATATTAAAACTTATTTGGCTTTTGTTATTGCTTTATTAAAAGATCAATCTGGCAACTCGTCCGTTTACATTTCTATTTCTGCCATTGATAGCCAGAAAATCTACAAACATGTGAACCACTCTTAGACATTTGGCGTGATGTCATCAAATTTGTTATCTCGGTATCTCCACTTTTTCACTATAAAAACAGCATCATAAGAGCTTAGCATGATGGAAAACAGGCCCCAAAACAACATCATAACAACTTACTTAGCATGATGAAAACAGGCCCCAAAACTTAAGAATAAAGTTTTATTGTCAAAATGTTTATTAAGCGGAAAGGCCAAAGTATTTTTTATTACTTTATTAAATTTTTTCATCCTTTCTGGCACATTCGAAATTTTGGTTAAAAATCTTGTTTTCTGTGTCATCAGCCAGTGTAATAATGATTTAGTGTTTCAGAGCTTTTTTTCGAAGAAAACCACATTGATTTGGAAATTCTTGCAAAAATCAAATAATTGTCGGATTTTAATGAAACTTTCTGGACTTATCCACAAATGAATGAAATTATTTTAGAAAATCTTGTTTTTTTTTTTGTTTTTTTTTTTTTTACATATGTTGCTCCCCACTTACTTAATTTCATGAAATTTCAAGAAAATTAAATTTTCATTCAAGAATTTTTTTTATTGGTTAAAAAAGTAAGACTCCTTGGAGAATGTAAATCATCATATTTTTTTCAAACTGCTACTCATTTGTTGTTTCTTTCTTTATATTTCTGTAAGCTGTCTTCTTAATACATTTATTGTTGTTTGTTTAAAGTCCATGTTTTTGTCCCCCACTCACTTTTTTTTTTACCCAGACTCACATGAGATCCACCAAATATTGTTTGCAAGACAAATGTACAGGAGGTATAAAAATGATATTTTCCATTCCTACAGCGGCAGAAATAAAAGAAATTACCATATATACTCGTCTATCATACAACCTTGAAGACCTAATTTGAAGCTAATTTTAAATTTTTAATCCACTTATATTCTAATTAACTTCAAAATTAGGTCTTCTAAGTTCATATAATACATAAGTGTATATAATTTAAATTATGAATTTATTTCGTATAATACATAAGTGTATATAATTTAAATTATAAATTTATTATAATGCATAAGTGTATATAATTTAAAACTTAACTGAAAATAAATAAAAGCTCAATTTTAATTTTTTTTTTTACTTTTAATATTTGTAATAAAAAATAACTTCATTAATTTATTTTAATTCTATTCATTTGGGACTATCCTTCTGGGAAAATAGATTTGTAATGCAGATTTTTTACGTTTGACAACTCAAGAAAAAAATATATATATATATTGAAACAATAACATACAAAACAATCATGCAATGGTGTGTCGTAATTAAGGGAGAAAAAGTTTCTTCCCTTCAACTGCATTCTGATTAAGATTGAATGTTCAAAAGAATTTTTCTTGAATAAAAATGTTCAGGATTCTATGTTGAATAGAGTCTGGTGTTAGAATAGAATACAGTTAATTAATAAGGGTGTTGTTTTGAGAAAGTAAGAGAGTTCTGGTTCATGAATTTGGCATAGTCACAGAGAGGAAGAATATGTGCAATGCGATACAAAAATCTGTGTCTGTGTGTGCGTTGTGAGTAAAGTCGTGGATTTGTGTAGACAGGCGTAATAGCTGGACTCTACTAACGACTTGCAAGAAAGTCAGTAAGAGTTGTTGGCAATGATCTTTAACATCTGACTGCACGGTTAAGACAGGAGCTCTTGAAGATTACATCTTGGCAGCAAGGAAAAAGATGGATGATGAGAACACAAGAGAGGCTTATTCGTGTTTTGTTTATATAATGTTGTGTCTCACGTGACAGGCTCAAACCTTGTTCGCGGTAAAATTATTCCTTGCGTGTAGGTGCATTGGTCAGAATTGACAAATCAACAAGCTAGTTTTGAGGAGATTAGCCAATGAATGCTTGCCATATGATTTGTATGTATGTATGTGTGATGGCGATGATGATTGCTACAAATTATTATATGTTTTTGGGGGATTATATTTTAACCAAGATTAACCTTCTGGTGTCATGTTTTAATCACAGATGGAAAAAAACATCATATAATTAAATGAAGTTATTTTTTATTATTGGCTAACACTTTCATAATATTATGATCTATCCCAAGATACATTTTCATCTTCAGATTTTTTTGTATTTTAGCAAATGTATTCAGAGAAGACCAAAGAATGCATCAATTAATTAGAGTGATTGCCAAAGTTAAGCACTGTCAAGCCTGGTCAGTACATACATGGGTGACTGCTTGGGAATATCAGGTGCTGTAAGCTTGAATGTGCAGATGATGTAAGGATAACAACTCTGTATTGTTAATTGGAGAGCAGAGTTCCAATTCCTGTCAGTTTCATTATATTCACTTATGTGCAAATACTCCTCCTATCTATGGGTTAATTAGTAAGATATATCACTAAACCATTATTATCTTAAAAAAACTTTTACAAGCTAAAAATATTTTCTGGCTTTAAATAACCTTCAAAGGGTTGATATGCCATAGAAAACAAATCAATCAATCAATCAATATTATCTGTCTATATTTCTGAGATGAGGTATTGTAATTATTTACATTGTTCAAACTGTTGTCCTCATATTTGTTGCCATATTCATGATGTTTCAGCTGTTGTATGCTCCAGCCTTCTTCAGGTGATTTGCCAATCAATATTAGTCTGAACAGTTCTTGGAAAAATAGATTCTTTGAACTTAAATTTTTTTTAATGCCATATTACTTTAAGATGTAGGGGATCATGGCTCTCCACAGCTTCCTTTCATTTACCATGACTTCTTGGAAAAGATAGTCAAGTGGTTTCCCTTTGCCTTCTCTAAGGTTTTTGTGACATAGATGATCATGTCTCTCCATAGC